GCCTCTTGGGGCGTCTTGGGGCGCTCTTGGGGGCCTCTTGGACCGTCTTCAACGCCGTGAAAGCCGAAAAGCCTTGTATGCTAAAAATGTACCTTTTCCAATAGGAAATCCATGAATTTGGCCTCTTGGGGCCCTCTTCGGACGCCCCTTGGGCGCCTCTTGGGGGCCTCTTGGGGGCCTCTTGGGCCGTCTTGGGCGGTCTTGCGCTCTCTTGGAGCGCTCTTGGGCCGCCTAGGGGGGAAACACGAAACACATGCAAAAACCCGAGGGAAATCCCGAAAACGTCCCCCTACGCCCCCCCCCTGGATCCCCCCCCTTAAGGGCATCGCCCACACCAGAACGTCATCACTCGTACCTCGCTCTTTCCATTACCTCCGGGCTCCGGAGGAAGAGGGGGGGAATTTCCACAGCAAAGCGGCGGTGGATCGCGCTCTCTGATGATGATGATGATGATGATGATGATGATGATGATGATGATGATGATGATGATGATGATGATGATGATGATGATGATGATGATGATGATGAGATGATGATGATGATGATGATGATGTGATGATGCTGATGCTGATGCTGATGCTGATGCTGATGTGATGATGCTGATGCTGATGCTGATGCTGATGCTGATGCTGATGCTGATGAATGATGATGATGATGATGGTGAACATGATGATCATGATGATGCTGATGATGATGCTGATGCGATGATGATGATGATGATGATGATGATGTTGATGATGATGATGCTGACGATGACGATGACGATGATGATGATGATGTTGTTGATGATGATGATGGTTATGATGACGATAATGATGATGATGATGATGATGATGATGATGATGATGATGATGATGATGATGATGATGATGATGATGATGATGATGATGATGATGATGATGATGATTATGATGATGATGATGATGATGATGATGATGATGATGATGATGATGATGATGATGATGATGATGATGATGATTATGTTGATGGTGACGAAGAGGAGGGGAAGGAGGAGGAGGAAGGAGAGAAGGATGAGGAGGAAGAGGAGGAGGGGGAGGTGGGAGAGGGGAAAGGGGGATGAGCCGGGGGGATTATGATATGGAAGTGGTGTTGACGATGGTGGCGGTGACGATCGTGATGATGCTGATGCTGATGATACTCATGCTGACGATGATGATGGTGATGATGATGATGATGTTGATGATGTTGCTGATGATGATGATGGTGATCCTGATGATTATGATGATTATGATGATGATGATGATGATGATGATGATGATGATGATGATGATGATGATGCTGATGCTGATGCTGATGCTGATGACGATGATGATGATGATGATGATGATGATGATGATGATGATGATGTTGATTTTGATCTGGAGGTTGATGGTGATGAGGATGGTGTGGTGATGATGATGACGATGATGACGATGACGAGATCATGATGAGCATGATGATGATGAGGAGGAGGAGGAGGAGGAGGAGAGGGAATTGGTGTCAGGAGGAGGATTCGGAGGAGGCGGAGGAGGAGGAGGAGGAGGAGGAGGAGGAGGGGGAGGGAGCGGGCAGCAGGAGGGAGGGGGGGATGGATTGGGGAGGGAGGTGGCGTGGCCCAGACTGCGGCGGCCGCCCTCCAGGCGGCGTGGACGCCCGCCGCCACCACCCTGGCGGGGCCGCCATCCCCAGGAAGGGGGGAACGACCGACGGAGGAACGGATCGCAGAACTATCACCGAGCGCGTTCCACTACTCGCAAAGTGCCTACTCGCAAACGTCAGAAAAAAAAACACGTTCGCCCCGATGTAATATCTCGTAGATCCCCCACGGCGGATCCAGGCCATTTGCGAGTAGCGACTTTGCGAGCAGTGGAACGCGCTTGCCTAAACTCCAGAGATTCCCAGACATCCAGCGTATGGACAAATGTAATACGGGCTTTTCGCCGACGTCGGTCCTGGGGGCCCTCGCCGGGCCCCTTGACCGTCAAAGAACGACTCAGGAGCAAAAGCCGTCCCTGGGGAACGGGTCGGGAATTCCAGGGACCCTGCACGGGCAAAAATCAAGACATCGGATGTCTGGGGACATCGAGTCGGAGTTTTTCTCAGTGCTTTTGGCGTCCGGGTGACTCGGAACGGCGGGCCGGTCCCAAAGCGGGGCTCGAGGGGTCCCGGGCCCCGAGGCTTGAAGAAAGTACGTCTCGGGTCGTCGACGGTTTAGGGTTTAGGGTTGAGGGTCCACTAGGTCAACTAGCAGGTTTCCGGACGTATCCCACCCATCCATGACCCCAGACATACCGAAGTCAATTCATCGGCGACGCGGGGGCGATGCTCAAGCATAGGACGAGGATGACGGCGACGTGCGCCAGCGCGTGCCACTGCGCGCTCGTGCCAACGCGGTATGGATTCCACTGCCCTTTTGAGGCCTCCTGATGGGGTGCCGCCGTCGTCGACGCCGCCGTCGTCGTCGACGGCGCCGCGCCGTTCTCGCCCTGGCGCGGTGCGGCACGCCCGAACGGGCGATCTCGTCGGCACATCCCAGGAGCGCATTCGCGCGGCGGGGTGCGCCCGACAGGGCCCAAGCGCGCCGCGCCCTGGTCGCAAGGCGGGAGTTACCAGCCTGGAACATACCCCTATCCATGTGCTGGGCATCTCCTCCTCACGATGCCAATCTTAGGGATTCCCTTGTTTGTTGAGGGCGCATCCCTGAGATTGTCATCGCTTTTTGGCGTGTCAATCTTGGGGATAGGGAGAAGTTCGAGGCTGGTAAGGGAGGGGGTGCTCGAGGGGGTGGGCCCGGCGGCCCCCTCTGGCTGCGGCGCGCCGGGGAGCACGTCGGCGCGGGCGCCAGGGAGCGCGCGGGGGGGGGCGCCGCGGAGCACGGGGGTGCCTGCGGTCGGCTGTGGACAGCCAGTGTCGATCAGCTCCAGGAGTGGAGGTGCTGGTAGCTCGAGGAGAGCACGAAGTGGCCTACAGTGGGCTCTGGACGTCCAGAGTCAATACCAGGATTGGAGTTCTGGGAACTCGAAGAGCACTAAGTGGCAGGAGCGGAGTTCTGGGAACTCGAAGAGCACCAAGTGGCCTACCGCTGGCTCCGGACTACAAAAGTCAGCACCAGGAGTGGCATTCTGGCAACTCGAAGGTCCGTGTGCGGGCACGCGTGGAATGAGGGCTCAGGGGTCAGCGCGCGTAAAGGGGTTACAGGTTTCAGATATTTCCAGCTATTAGCTCATAGGATCTGGGGCCCACCCTCCCCATGTTTGAAGCCTGTCGGACATGTCCCACCCACCCAAGACCCATGACGTACAGATCTCAGCGCGTCGACGACGTCGCCTCTCGCGATGCGACGTGCGCAGCGCTGATGCGACGCTTCGACGGCCGATGCATTGGCGGTGCGGAGCAGGGCCCAGGCGATCGGCGGGCTGCCCTCCACATCAGACTGGCGACGAAGCGCTGGCGATGCGTAGCGCAGCTTGGCGCGCCGCCAGGGCCTGAGCTTCGCGATGGCCGCCCCCACGAAATGCGCCCTCCGACTGTGGCCCCAGACGCGAAGAATCCCCAGCGACGGCAGGGGATGCCACCTGGAGAGACTGCGCGGGCTCGGGCGCGCAGTGCCCAAGCAGCGCGTCGAGGGCCAATGCCGCGGTGAGGTGGCGCGGGCGTGCGATGCGACCTGCGGGTAGTGTTCCGCAGCGGGTTGCCGACGCATTGGCGATGCATGAACCAGCTTGGCGCGTCGCTGGGGGTTGCTTCTCGCGATGCCCGCCGACTTTGGCTCGAATGTCTTGGCGCCCGACCGGATCTCAACCGCTTGCGCGCCTCCGCGCGGAACCCTGGGGGGCCATGTCCAGCGTCCACGCGGCGGCCCATGGAGAACGGGGCGAGGCTCTTAACCCGCAAGGGTCGAAGTCGCCCCCGCACTTTTCGCGAAGGACATTATCACTGAGGCACAGAAGCGGCCTGCGGCTGGCGAAGAAGCTCGCTGCGCAGTGTATCTTATCAAAGTCCTAGACGCCAGAGCCCCTGGGAAAGCTTCGAGGCGCCTGGAGGCGCTCGGGAGCGCCGGGAGGGCGACTGGGAGCGCGCGAGACTCTGGCGAACCATCCCCAGGAGTTCGGGAGCTCCCGTGAGCGCCTGGAACGGCCTGCGAATGCCTGGGGAGCGCCTGGGAACGCCGCGCCTGGAGGCGCTTGGCAGCGCCTGGGAGCGCCTGGGGAACGCCCGGGAACGCTTTGGGACGCCTCGAGGCGTCTGGCGGCGCTCGGGAACGCCTGGGGTGCGCCTGGGAGCGCGTGGGAATCTTGGGCACCTTCCCAAGGAGCCCGGGGGCGCCTGGGAACGCTTGGGGAGCGCCTGGAACGCCGGGGGCGCCGGAGAACGCTTGGGGACGCTTGGAAGCGCTTGGGAGGGCCCGGGGGGGCGCCTGGGAACGCCTAGGACATAAACGCGCGCGGGGCGTGCGCGGGATTCTACGTGTTGTTCGGGATCGCGCGAGTGGCAGGAACCACTGCCGACGCAACTTTGCTGCTCAATTATGACGACTGTGAGTTTTTGGGTGCTGGGTGATATCTAATTGCGAGGTGTTAAAATGGCGTTTGCGCCCTCTTGGGTGGGTGGATACGGGCCAAGCGGTCTTGGGTGAGTTTAGGATTTGGGGTAGGGAGGGGGCTGCGAAGGAGGAGCTGGGGAGGATAGTGTGCTGGGAGGGTTGTCCAGGGTGTTCCTGCAGGCTGGCGTCTCCCAGGGAGGAGTGGATGCAGAAGGGCAGCGACGAAAGATGGGTGGGGGGAGGGGGGAAGAAGGGCGTGGGCGAGGGAGGGAGGGCGGATGGAAGGAGAAGAGGCACGACGGAGCAGGAGGAGGAGGAGGAAGAGGAGGAGGAGGAGGAGAAGGAGGAGGAGGAGGAGGAGAAGGAGGAGGAGGAGGAGTGGAGGGAGGAGGAGGGCAGAGAGGACGGGGGCGATCGGGCAGGAGGGAGGCTTGCGAGGACGGTGGCTGCCCGTCAGGCGCAGACGTCAGCACCTTCCGCTACCACGACCGTGTCGACGGTGGACGACGGGCCTTCCGCCACCACGACCGTGTCGATGGTGGACGACGGGCCTTCCGCCAACACGACTGTCTCGATGGTGGACGACGGGCCTTCCGCCAACACGACCGTGTCGATGGTGGACGACGGGCCTTCCGCCACGACGACTGTCTCTATGGTGGGCGACGGGGGCGAGGGAACGACGCTGGCAGAGCTCGAGCTCAACAGGCCTGTTGGGATCCCGAACTGGGGTTGTACAGCGAGCCGCAGCTCCTCGCTGTCGTTCTCGTCGTCGTTCTTCCTGTGCTCCTCTTCCGTCTTCTCCTCCTTTTCTTCCTTCTCCTCCCCTTCGTTCTCTTCCTCTAGGACGGGCAAGACTGACATCATCTGCGAATGGCTGAGTACCAGAACTGTTCGGCTGCCATGGGGAACAATCGCTTCGCGTGTCGCTCCGATGGTTCTGGACCCCCACGCTTCGGCGCGACGCTTTGAACCACCTCCCCCTCCCCGAGCGTCACGCCCCGAGGCCTTCCCCGGCCGCCCGCCCCGGCTTCCCGGAGCGACGCGCGATCCGCCTGCAGGCTGCAGCGTGTCGCCCGGGCCGCCGCCGCGACGCGCCGATCAACAATTCCTGACGGCAGGAGGGGGGGTAGGGGATGTGCATGGGCAGAACAAAAGAGAGAGAGAGAGAGAGAGAGAGAGAGAGGGAAGGGCACGGGGGGACACTGACGCCGGCGCAGCCCAGGGCGCGTTGGGTGCAGGCTTGGGCGGCCTTGGCGCCGGGGCGGCCCCCTCAGCAGACTGCAGCGGAAGCTCCCGGCCGTATCCCCCGTGGCACCTCGGCACCTGGCGGCGCTGCCGCTGTGGGCCCATGCGCCGCCGCCGCCGCGGACGGTGCCGCCCGTACAGGGGAGGGGGGAGGCGCCAGGGGGCGCGCGCAGCGTCGGCCACGGATTGGGATCGCGTGGCCGCTTCGGTGCAGTGCGTCCGTGTGGCTCGCCGCCGCCCGATTGTTCGCCTCGCGCCACTGGGAGCTCCGATCTGCCGCGCGCTTCTGGGAGCTCTGGCTGCGGGCAAAACACCACCCCCCGGGACTCTTTTACCGCTGGTTGCACCTCGCTGCGCGCCGGAGGAGCAGTGCGTGCGGCTCGCTCCCGCTCGCTTCTACCTGGCTTCCCTCGGCTTCCGCGCGGGGCGTGTGGCCCTTGCTGGCCGCTGCCGCTGGGGAGGGCCTCTGCCCCCTTCGGCTCGAGGGCCTCTGCCCCCCTCGGCTCGAGGGCCTCTGCGCGGGCATGGGCCTGGGCGTCCCGCTGCCCCTCCGCCCTTGCGGCGCGCGCGGCCGTGCGCCAGCGGGGCGCCGACCCCAGCCACCAGGCGGCGGCCCGCAGGCAGTGCCCGTGGCCTCCGCCAGCGCCGCCTCCGCCACCGCCTCCCCGTGGCCTGGAGGCACATCTGGTATCGCCCCACTGCCCTCCACGACCGCGGCGTCGACGCGCCCGCCCCTTGAGGTGCCGCGGCACTCCGCCCGCCCTCTCCCAGGGTCCGACCTTCGCCGACCGCTTGGGGCGGGATGCGGCGGCGGCGGCGGCTGGATCCCCGCGCGGGGCACGGCCGCCGAGCCCGCGCGGGGCGAGGCCTGGGCACAGCGAGGCGGGTGCGCGGGCACAGGCGCCTCGCCTCCACCGCCGCACAGGGCGGCGTTGCCCCGGCGGGCGGCCCGAAGAGCACCCCCCAGCTCCGCCAAGGACGAGCGACGAGCTGGTCTTCTCGGCGGGCGGAGGCCATCCAGCAGTCACTCCCTGCGCGCCAGCGGGCCCCAGCATATCACGGGCGCCTGCATTGCGTCGGCGCGCGCCGCAGCTAGGGTCGGCAGCGCCACTCTCTTGCATGGCCGCCAGCGGTGACGGTGACATCTCCGACTCGGCCTCCCTTCGCCGGCCCTCCCGTCCGTGGTGGCACAGCGTTGCGGATGGCTGATCGACCCTCGCGCACGGACGCCGCTACGGCTGCGAGCGAGCCACGGTTGACCACAACACCAGCCGCGCCGAGTGCGTATTTTCCAACGCGGTGGGTAAGCAGGTAGAGTAAGCAGATTCTCCACCGCGAAGCGGTCCGACATGGACTCTCTGGCCACCGCCCGCCACGGCTTTGACGATTGCGCCACCGTGCATGCCTCGCCCCAGCCGAGGGGGCCGCCTCCGAGCTCGCTCCACACGCAGCGGCCCCGGCACCGCAGCTGCCCCGCCGTGGAGGCGGCAGAGCGCCCTCGCAGGCGGCTGTCGAGGGCCCGCGCCCCGCCCGCGGGCCGCTGCTGCTGCGAGCAGGACGGGGCACGGGGCCGCGCGCCCTGCTGGCGCGGACGTCTCGGGCGCCGCAGCGGCGCGCCCGCGCCCGCGCCCGCGCCCGCTGCCGTGCGGCGCGCACCCACGCCGCACACCAGGCGCCGCGGCCTGCTCGGGGGCGTGGCGCGCGGCGCCTCGGCCTCGAGGCCGACCTGGCGGCGGGCGCGCCTCGGCCTCGCCCGCGGCCCCGCCTCGGGGCCGCGCTTCAACCCCGACGAGCCGCGCGGAGCCCCCCGACGACGCCGCCCAGTGCCAGTCGTACTGGGCCCTGCGCCGCCACGGGCGGCGCCCGCGTCGGCCCAGCGTGCCCGCTGCCCGCCCGGGCGGGCGTCGACGCCTGCTGCTGCTAGCAGGCTGCCGTGCGCCTCCTTGCGCGCAGGGCGCGGCGCAGAATGCCTGGCGCGTCGCAGCCGCTGCCCCCGCCAGCCCTGTCGCTGTGGCAGGGCGGCCTGTGCGCGTCCTCGCCGACCACAATGGCGCCGCCGACGGCTCCAGGGCCATTGCAGCGGGTGGCAGTGCGCTGGGCGGCCCGCGCGCTGACTATTATGGTGCCGCGTCCACGCCGCCGTTCAGGCCAAACCCGATCTCTTTCGAGTGCACACGGTCGAGTGCCGCCTTGGTCAGGCTCGCGCGGAAACTGGCCCCGTTGGCGTCATGGCCGAGCATTGCCGCCGCCAGGTGGACGAGATGACCGCCCAGACAGCCCTCGCGCGCAACCTGCCCGACGGCGATGTCCTTGCCGCCAAGCGCCGGCAGCGACGGGCCATAGCGCTCCGCCAGACGCAGCCACCATGTGTGGCTTGCGCCGAAGAAGCCAAAGCACCATAAACGTAAACTTTTGGCGCTTTGGCGGATTTCTCGGATCCGCGCTGTGCCCCCCGGTGGCGCCTCCGGCGCCGTCCCGGAGGTCCAGCGCAGATCCAAGAAATTCGTGCGGTTGCGCCAAGAGTTTATGTGACCGCCGTTTTCTTTCTCTTCTACGGCGGGGCCTCGAGTGGCCTTCTGCGCACCGCCAGCGTGGGGCGCTCTGCTTCTGAACCCGCCGCCGTGCAGCCGCCTCGAGCTGGCCCAGCTGGGGGCCGCCGCCGCTGACGCCTGTGCGGCGGCAGGGGTCCACGGCGGCTCTCCTGCAGTCCGGCCTCCGCACGGGCCCCGGCCCGCATGCGGCCTGCCTGCGCCGCCTCCGCGGAGGGTGCCCTCGGCCGCGGGCCCGGCCGTGGCCCCACCAGATGGCGGCAGCGCCCCCCGACCAGATGCGCCCTGCCGTCAGCCTCGCAGCGCCACCCCGTGGCGCCCATCGCCGCCGCGGCACGTCGCGCCGGCGGCTCGCCCCCTCCGCTCCACCGCCCGCGCGCTGCTCGACCAGGGCCGAGCCGGCGGGCCGCCCTCCCCGGCCCGCCCCCCTGCTCAGCGCGATCTCCAGGGCCTCGGGGTGCTGTGCCCCTTCGCCCCCCTTTTGTCAGCCGCGGGCCTGCGCGTGCGCCAGCGGCTGCCCCGCCTCCCCTCGCGCGGCCACCCTCGTCTGTCGCCCCGATTCGCCCCACGCCGGTGCGGACCGCCTCTGCCCCGCCGCCGACAGAAAGAGGGTGCGCCGGCGGCACGGGTCAGCCACCCGCTCCCGCACCGCCGCGCGCAGTGCCGCCACGGCCTCCCGGCCACCAGCCGCTGCGGCGGCGAGCGGACCGAGCGCCGGGGCGTGGTGGCCGTTCTCTTATTCACTGTTTTGCCGAGCGGCGCGGGCCCTCGCACCCCCCCCATGGAGCGGACCTTGGCTGTTTTTGGCGCCTGTTTTGAGCAGGTGGAGTCTCCCCCAGAGGATGCACTGCTGTAAACAGTCGCGCGAAGCAGAGGTCTGGAGCCAGGTCCCCTCCCCCCCCCTTCCGCCCAATGTCGAAACGCCAAGTGAGAAAACGTTCACGCGGTCCGGCAGCACGCCGCCAACGTCCTGGTCGACTGCACCAGCTTCACGGAGTCCGAGTGCGATCCAGAGCCTGCGTCGGCAGGCGGGGCAAGCTAGTGCGGGATCAGGCTCGGGCCGATGTTTAGCTGGTGGTCATGCACCTGGGGGTCAAAGATCTTGGGCTGCACCTCCGCCGTCAGTTGGTCCTCGAATTCTTGTTGGTTTCTTGACGACCGCATCAGGGTGGCGTGGAGCACCTGATCCCGCGCTTGTGGCCGAGGCGGGCCAGGTGGAACAGAGGGCGAGGCCCTGTCCGTGCGGTGATCGCTCCCTTGTACGAGGCTGGCTGGATCCCGTCGGCTCCCGACTCGCGGAGGCAGCCTACAGCTGATGGTGGTGTAGCTTGGCGGCTACCGGGAGCCGAGGACGAATGCTTCGCGCAAGGGGATGCTCTTGGATGATTTAGTGCAGGGATTTTCGTCCGCGTGCTGGACCCGAGTGTCTACCCACTATGGAGGGCAGGCGCTTGAGCTTTGGAGCAGGGGCCTCTCGTCAGCGGGACGTGAGGTCAAGCGTTTCGTAGCCAATTGCAATTTTGAATTATTCGGATTGCTGAATTCAGCAGTGTCTGGCAGGCAGTTCACTCATGAAAGGCAAGCTGCCCTCGGTTATGAAATACCTACCATTTGCCGCGATGCGATCAGGCAGTGGAGAGTTTGAAACACTGGGTCATGACATGCTCGTGGAAGTCGAGGCCGACCCATCGAGTGGAGTTCGGGCCATGACATGCTCGTGGAAGTCGAGGCCGACCCATCGAGTGGAGTTCGGGCCACCGTCCAGCGAGGCCAGCACCGTCGCGCCTTGAAATTGCTGTGCCGTCCTGCGTCCACCGCCTGGATAAAGTGGGGGTTGGAAAATGTAGCATCTACACATTACCAGTGGCGGGCTGTCTTCCAATCCCAGGACTTTTTGAGGGTCGGGGACGACGTCGTGGCGGTGTGGTGTATACTTGTTTCCCCGCTTCCTGGGGAAAGAATGAAACATGTACGGTATACGCCAGGATCTCGTATATACCAGGATCCGCTTTCTTGTGCGAGCTTCAGTGCGGGGCCGGAAAGAGACGTCGGTGTACGGTGGGGGTCTTGGTTAAGCAATGCGCCTAGGATGCTGCAGACCCGGAAGGATTCCTTCTCTGATGAGGGCGGCGGTGATCTCCATGGCCAAGCCTCTATTGTAGTTCCACCGGCCTCCAAACCCTGGACTCCTTATCTAAAGGTTCCTCATCCAATGCGTCCACCGAGCCCTTCCTCGTCTGCAGCGTGTGCTACATGTGCGCCAGGGCCCCCGGGATGGCCTGGAGGGGGCTGCGCGGGGAGTGCAGCGGGGCGGAGCAGCGGGTCAGGCTGGGCTCGCGGGCCCAAGCTCGTCACGACCTGGGCAAGGGGGCCGCGGCCGCGAGGCCCGAGCCGGGCGCGCGGCGGCGGGGCGCGGGGGCGGTGGAGCCCAGGAGGGCGAGCCATGGCTTCGAGTGTCCGGCCCCTGGGAGTCCCGCTTGCGCCACGCATGCGCCCACGGGCCGCGGAGGTGTTGTTCTCCGTGTGTGAGGAGAAGTTCGCCTTGCCTCCTCCTCCTTCTCCTCCTCCTCCTCCTCCTCCTCCTCTTCCTCTCCTTCCTGCGGATCGGTTAAACGATATCGAACAGTGCTCGCGTCCCCGAGGGCAACGATCCTTCTCAATTAGGCGCTTGCGCCTGCGAAGAGTCAAAACATGCGTCCACCGTATAGTATAGAGTTCGGCTCCTGATGGGGGCAGCCGGAGATGTAGCCCCTGCACGATGGTGGTGCAGGCGTCCCGTGCGATCAGGATCGCCCCATCCTGGCGTCGGGCCCCCGCTGGGCGGACGTCGCCAGCGTCGAACCAGTTGTCGCTAGCGTCGCGCCATCGGTCCACGTAATCATCAGCGTCGTTCTCGTCGTCGTCGTCTTCGTCTTCGTCGTCGCTAACTCTGAAAGCACGCATATCCCCCGCCAGAAAGCGCTTGACAAATCCGCGATCCTCCTCCTGCTGCTCCTCCTCCTCCTCATCCTCCTCCTTCCCCCAGCTGGAGAAGCTCGTGTGCGGGCGCGAAGCATTGGCGAGGCCGCAGCTGGGCAGGACGTTTTTCCGACACACACCGTCCAGTGATCGGAGTTGTTTTGATGCCTTTCTGTACCACGTACGGGAACTACGCTACCGTGGACGGGAGCCACCTCGCGCCAGAATGCATGTGTATCACACGTACAGGCCGAGATATTCTGGGCTGTATCGAGGAGAAAAAGTGCCCAGGGCGTGAGCCGGATGCCCAACGCACGCTCCCGATGTGCAAGAGGTAGTCCCGTCCCTCCTTCGAGGACGGGTCACCAGACCCCCTCGAGTTGTGACAAACATCACAGGGGCCCTCACCCGGCCTCGGGACAGTCAAAAAACGACTCAGCATGAAAAACCCGTCCCGGGGAATGGGCCCAGACCTTTGGGGGTCGACGTTCTGGAGGGGATAAAACAGGACTAGGATCGGGATAAATCGCTCCAGAGCGTTCCGGAGCGCTCTCAGAGCGTTCCGGAACGCTCTGGAGCGGCCGCGGCGCTCAATACGTCCTCCAAACCCGCCGATTCTCAGAGATTTCGAGATATCCCGATCCGATTTTGTCCCGATCTTCGCGTCGTTTTCGGGGAGAGAGGAGGGAGGGGGGCGCGCACGCCGACAGGGCGCCGCAGCCAGACTTCGGTGATTTCGAGGACAAGTCCCAGGCCTTTCGCGGCGCGCTCCTCGGCGGGCGCGGCAAGCGGGCAACCTGGGGTTCCGACTTGACTGAGTGGGGCAGCCTCGTCGGAGACGCGGGGGGGGGGGGGAAGACTCGGCCTTCGCCTCCTTGTGCCGCTGTGGCTTCTCCTCCTTGCCCTCGTCCTCCCGCCCTTCCTGCTCTTCCACCCCCCCTCCTTTCCAGAATCCTCCTCCTCGTCCTTCTCGATCTTCTCCCACTCCTCCTCTTGCCTTGTTCCTCTTCTTCCTCCCCTTCTTCTTAGTATCCGTCTTCTTTGCGTTGTTGACTTTCCATGTCTGAAGAAGAAGTATGTTTGCCTCCTTCGGTGCCAATGTGTATTTCGAGTGAAGAGCCCCTCCCCGGAGCTCGCACCTTTTTTTTTTTACCAGGGGACGTCCTGGGTCTCAAAGCTGCGCCTTTGGTCCCCGAACTGCCACAACAACGGCTCCCGCCTGATACGTCCTCACAGTGTATCAGAGAATCGCGCTCCTGCTCTGGATTTCCTTCCCTACAACTTACCCAGGTGCCGCGCACTCGTTTCTCAGTAATTTACGCTGTCGCCCACGACCTCCTGACGATGTACTCAAGACGGTCCTTTCGCTGTGCATGACGGAATCGCGTTCTTGCTCGCGACCTCCTCGCAGTTTACCCAAGCATGGCGACATCTTTTTTATGAATGGAATCGCGATCTCGATTCCGATTTCATTGCGAATTGCTCAAGTGGCCCGCCCGCCTGACCCGCCCGTCTGGGCCCGCCCGCCCGACCCGCCCGCTGGGGCCCCCCGTCGCCACTCGCTGCCGAGCTCATCCCCGCCCGTCCGATCCGCCCGTTCGGGTCCGCCCGCCCCGCCCGCCCGACCCACCCGCCTGGGTCAGTCTCTTGTTGCCTTGCCCATCTTCTTTTCTTTGTGTTCTCCTGCCGCAGCTCAAGAAGCTGTTTCTACTCTTCCCCAGTATGGCTGCTGCCTCCCCGAGAGGCCGCATCCCACGCTACAGCCTCTGCTTGTCAGACTGCTAGCCTCTCTCGTCCTCCATCATCCATCCGGCTCCCTCCCCCTTCAAACCCTTCCTGCTAGTCTCTCTCGTCCTCCAACCTCCCTGGAAGGGGAGATGTATCCCCCAGAGGGGGCCCGCTCGAAGACGCAGAGGAGGGGCATCGAGGGTTCGGGATATGCATGCTGATTGACCTGCGTGCATATGATGCTGAGTTATCGCTTCTCGAGGAAATTGTTGACGCTTCGCGTTTCCCCACCAGGGGATTGCATGTCGGCTTCACGGTGCTCATTTGGCTCCCTGGATGCCCTTTGCACGCCCGTTCTGGGGCCCGCAGGTCCCCTGGACTGCACGTAGGCTCTGACGCCTTAGGACGCTGCTGCCTGCCGCCTGACCGCGGCCCCGCGCGCGCCCGCCGCTAGTCGCGGCCGCAGCCCGCCCGCGACTGCCCGCCGCTGGCGCTTCCGCCTGCGGCTGTAAAAAAAAATGTTTCCCCACCAGCTCCCTGGGCGTTCCAGTTCAGCCAGCCAGCCCCCGCCCTGCTGCCCCAGCTGCCGCCTTGTGAGCTGGCCCGGCCGGCTTGTGCTGCGCCCAGTGCCTAATTGGGCTTTCCCGTCGGCCCAGACACCCTGTTCGCCGCCTGCGCTCTTCGCTCGCGGCTTCGACCAAAAAAAAGGCTCCCCACCAGCATGGTGACGTTCCCTCTGTAATCGGTAAATTAGTGGTAACCACTCCCTGGTAGATCTCCATGGTCCGGGCAGCCCCTCAGTCGTCGGTTCCAGCATGAGAGTGCGCGTGGCCTTCCCTGGTCCTGTAGTTCAGGCGCTGACGGTGTCGATTACATCCATCGTACCCCTGGCTGCTTCGCCCGTGTCCTGGGCCTTTCGTGGCCGGACGCTCGCAGGATCAGTACTCCTCTCCGGGGTTTTGGTGTGCGACTTTGGTGGCGCCACCCGTGCGCCAGTGTGGGCCGTGTCGGGCACCCATGGCAGTCTCCCCAGTGTACCGACTGGTCACCTCCCTGGTCACACCCTGGCAGAGCATCGCGTCATTTTGGTTGCGTCCCGACTGTGGTTGGTTAATTAGCTGCAGCTCAATTCACACACCTGGTGACTCAGCTCCCTGGTCCTCGCACGCTTGCAGCTCCCTGGCAGCCCTGGCAGCTTGCAGTCCACACCCCTGGCACCGCCTGCAGCCCCGGCGCTGAGGCTTCCCCCCGGCGGTAGGTCCTGCTCTGCTCCGCGCTAGGTAATTCGGCCCCCGCGCGGCCCGCTTGGACCTTACTCGCCGCTGGCGCTCTCGCCTGCGGCTACTAACCAAAACTTTCCCCACCAGCCCAGCCAGAAACGATGCCCAGGGGAGTTGAGGTGATCAAGGAAGTGGGGGAGCGTGCAGAAGGACAAAGGGCGGGGAAGGCCGTCATATACCCCAAGAGGGGGATGATGGAGGAGGAAGCGTCGTGGCGTCGTCGTCGTCGTCGTCGTCGTAGGAGGAGGAGGAGGAGGAGGAGAAGGAAGAGGAGGTGAAGCAGGGCGAGGACGAGAAGGAGAAGAAGGAGGAGAAAGAGGGAGAGTTGGGTACCTCGGGGATCCCCTTGGGGCCTCGTATGGGGTCTTTGGGGAGTCCTGGAGGCCTCTTGGGGCCGTCTGAGCGCCTCTTCGGGCCCTCGTGGGGCGCTTCCAGGAGCTTCACGGGCGCTCGTGCGGCCATCTTGGAGGAGATCGATCAAAGAAGAGGGGTTCCCTGATTCGCCCCCCCCCAGGGGGCCCCAGAAGTCGCCTCTTGGGGCGCTCTTGGGGCGCTCTTGGAGCGCTCTTGGGGCGCTCTTGGGGCCGTCTTGGGGCTCTCGTGGGCCTCTCCTGGGGCTCTCCTGGGCCATCTTGGAGCCATCTTGAGGCCTCGGATGGCCATCGGAAGCGAAAAGGCGAGAAAGCACAAGTCACTCATTTTCTTTCGGTGTTTGAAAGATTGTGGCTTCTTGGGGGCCTCCTTGGAGGTCTCGGAGGACTCTTGGAGCCGTCTTGGAACGTCCTTGGCGCCTCATGGGGCATCTTGGGAGCCATCTTTAGGCATCGTGCGCTATCTTGAGCCATCGTGGAGCTCATCTTGGACTCAGGGGCCCTCTTGGAGCCGTCTTGGGCCTGCTTCCCCTCTTCCCTCGCCTGCCCCTCCCCGCAGCGGCCCTCCCCGCCCTCAGATCCGACGCTGCGAGAAAAAATGCAGCATCGTGAAAAACCGCGACCCGAGCCCCGGACCCCATTTTTCTGCGTCAGTCTTTAAGCCGGATCGATCTGTGAGGGCCCCGGGGCCCGACATTGGGCGATAACGCCTGGTGCGGAAAAGCTGCAGCGCCAGGTTGGGCGCCCGAGTTATCCGGGGAAACTCGGGTCCGGGGTAACTCGGGTTTGGATTCCCGAAAAAGGAACCCGAGTTAGCCCTGACCCGAGGTACCCCTGATGATTCGGGGCTCTGGACGCCCGAATTATCCGGGGTAGCTCGGGCCCGGGAGAACTCGGGCTCGGACTCCCGAGAAACGACCCCGAGTTAGCCCTGACCCGAGTTCCCCCTGATGATTCGGGGCGCTGACCAGGACCTCAGGGCCCCCCCCCCCTCAGGGCACCCTCCTCCTCCTCCTCCTCCTCCTCCTCCTCCTCCTCCTCCTCCTCCTCCTCCTCCTCCTCCTCCCCCTCCCTCAGGAGTGGCGCTGCTGGCGGGCGCCCTCGCCAGCCGGCTCGGCGCGCGGGCCGCGCGCGGGGCCCCGCACGGCGCCCGGGGCGACGCCGACGAGGCGCGGGTGGCGATGCTGCACGCGGGGAGCTCGGGCGACGCCGGGGGCGAAAGCGGGGAAGAGGAGGCGGAGGAGGAGGAGGAGGAGGAGGAGGAGGAGGAGGAGGAGGAGGAGAGGAGAGGAGGAGGAGGAGGAGGAGGAGGAGGAGGAGAGGGGGAGGCGGAGGAGGAGGAAGGAGGAGGGGGGGGAGGAGGAAGGAAGAGGAGGAGGAGGAGGAGGAGGAGGAGGAGGAGGAGGAGAGAGGAGGAGGAGGAGGAGGAGGAGGAGGAGGAGGAGGAGGAGGAGGAGGAGGAGGAGGAGGAGGAGGAGGAGCGCGCCCGGCTCTGCTCGCCGCGGGGCGTCCCCGAGATCCCGGCGCTGCAATTTTTGTCGCACCGGGCGTTGTCGCCCAGTGTCGGGTGTATAGCCAGGACCCCATGGGTAAGGGGACCCCGGTTCGTCGTAGGGCCCCAGAGCCCCTCGAGTGACCAGAGCCACTAGACCAGGTCTGCCGCAGCTGGTGTTTTTGCGGGTGGCGGCAGTTCCGGTTAGTGGAACGGGGCGGGGGGGCGTCCCCAGTACACATCACTAAACCAGGTCCCACTGAACCCAGTTCTGCCAACGCCTGACAATGTCGGGCCCCGGGACCCTCACAGATCGACCTGGCTCGAAAAATGACGCAGAAAGATGGGGTCCAGGGCTCGGGTCGTGGTTTTTCACGATGCTGCATTTTTTTTTCGCAGTTTCGGATCTCAGAGTCTGCACACGGCGTGCCTCCTACCTTGAGCCTCGTGTTGGAGCCAGCTGGGGGTCCGAGGCGGCCCAGCATGGACTCCGGCCAGCATGGAGAGTGGGCAGGTTCAAGGATTTGGTCTCGGGATTTGTATTCATGTTTTTCGGCCTTCGGAGGCCGTTTTCGGGTCCTGTCCTGGGGCTGTGAAACACGGATCTGGGGTGGTGCTTTTCACCAGACGGACCCCGGGACGGTTCCAGGAATTGATTGTGAATGGATTCGCCCTTGAATTTACAGTGCGGGCGCGGCCGCGAGAAACCCTCGCAAGAAACCCAACCCTGAAAACCTGCGCGCGAGGTGCATCTGAGGGGAAGCCCGGAGCACCCTGAACACAGCAGCTTCTGCAACGGCCGCGGGAAGTCACCGCCCGGCGCGCAGAGCGAAGAGAAACCCAGGGCACCCTGGCGAGAAGCAGATGGTCTCTTGCTGCGCGCCCCCACTGTACTGATCTTGTCGGCCCCTCCGATCCGATTTTGTTTTTCGTAGCTGCTGCCAACAGGGCGGCTGCTGACTGTACTGATGTTTTCGGCCCCTCCGATCCGATTCTGATTGTTTGTTTCGTCTGTGCTGACTTTTCCGGCCCGTTACTGACTTCCTCGGCCCCTCCGATCCGATTCTGCCTGCCTTCGATGGCTTCCGATGCCGATTTCGATTCGGCACCGCTCCTCGACTCGGAGGTTGCCGCTCCCTCCTTGCGGAGGCCTCGCCGGCCTGCCCCTCTCCGCCGAGAGCTCCGGCTCATCCCGGCTCGGATGTGCCGATCTCCGCCGAGCCGGTTCGTTTCGACTCCCTCCCTCTCCTCGTCCTCCTCCTCCTCCTCCCTCCTGCTCCTCCTTCTCCCTCCTCCTCCTCCTCCTCCTCCTCCTCTCTCCTCCTCCCTCTCTCCTCCTCCTCCTCCTCCTCCTCCTCCTCCTCCTCCTCCTCCTCCTCCTCCTCCTCCTCCTCCTCCTCCTCCCTCCTCCTCCTCCTCCTCCTCCTCCTCCTCCTCTCCTCCCTCCTCTCCTCCTCCTCCCCGTCCTCCTCCTCCTCCGCCTCCTCCTCCTCCTCCTCCTCTCCTTCTCCTCGTCCTCCTCATCCTCCTCCTCCTCCTCCTCCTCCTCCTCCTCCTCCTCCTCCTCCTCCTCCCTCCTCCTCCTCCTCCTCCTCCTCCTCCTCCTCCTCCTCCTCCTACTGCCGATCCGACGTGGCGATAAGTCGGGCCGGACGAAAGGGGGGGGATAGGGGAAGTGGGGGTCACGAAATTTGCTGCGTGCAGCTGGTTTCGGCCCCGCCGAGGGGCCCATTCCTCCATACATGTGCGCCTCCAGCGCCGGGGGGCGCTGGGAAAGTCAGCCACGTGAGCTGATTCTCACCCACCCCTCTTTGCTATACCCCCCTTTCGCCCGGGCCAAGTTAAGTCGGGCCTGTCCCTCTACAGGAGGGATATCCAAAAATAGTCAAGAAGTAGTCTGGGGACTATTTCTTGAGCATTTTTTGACCACGTTGGAGTATGTTTGGAGTGTTTTTCTATTTTTCATCGAAAATCCCCCCTGTAGGGGGACATGCCCCACCCAAACGTAGCGATTCGATTCGCCAGGTGAGGCCACGGCAGCTGGCCCTCGAGGAGCGCCCTCGCGGCTGGACGCAGCTCGGAGCGCTGGTGCTTACCAGTTTGAAGCATGTCCCTATCCCTGGGTTTGGCATCACCCAACCTCGATGCCGATCTTGAGGGTTCCCCCAGTTCCTGAGGGCACATCCCTAAGACTGTCCTCGCTTTTTGCCCGCTCCATCTTGGGGGCAGGGACAAGTTGGAGGCTGGTTAGGTGCGCTTGAGCCCGCGTTGTCTCAACTCGCCCTGTCCCGAGATGGGGAGGAGGGAGGTTTGGGGGGAGGAAGCATGGGATGATGACTTGCTGGCCGCTCTGCGGTTGATCGGGAGTCTCTGTATTTAGAAAGCGACGAGTCGTTTTATCCGTGACGCTGTTGACGACGACGCTGATGACGACGATGGATGACGACGATGGACTGACGGGGAGGGAGACCGGGGGGGTGACAAGAGGGAGGGAAAGCGGGAGTGAGAGCAAGAGTTGGGTGCAGGAGGAGGAGGAGAAGGAGGAGGATGAGGAGGAGGAGGAGGAGGATGGGAGGCAGGAAGATGGCAGGGAGAGGATAATTTCGGCTCACGACAGGAGGAGATCTTACCACCCTCGTCTCTAACTTCAACGATTCCATGCCGACATCTGCAGCCGGTCCCTTCCCCCCCCCGCGGTGGTCGATTCTGTTAGGATATCCCGAGCTAGAGAGGCGGGATTCTGCGACGGATGCGTCGGACACGGTGCAGGAGAAGCCTTTTTGGCCCGTCCCCTGGGGCCGCTTTAGTAAAGCTTTCCCTAGCGACAGCGCCCGGTGGGGAGCTGCGCAGGATTCGCCAGAGGCGGTGCAGGGTGCAGGAAGCGCAGTTTGGGGCAAACAACAAAATCAAAAAAAGATGAGGAAGCGCAATTTGGGGCCGATGTTGTTATATTACCGAGCGAGAGCGCCGGTTTGGGATTCTGCGCCTGATTCGCCAGGAAATGGTGCAGGAAGTATTCTTGGCCCCTCCCCCTGGGCCCGAAGAGCGCGCGCCTATGTGGGATTCTGCGCCGGATTCACCAGGATCGGTGCAAGAATCGCGATATTTGCCTCTCCCCTGGAGCTGATGTTGTTAGGATCTCCCGAACGTGAGCGCCCGTTTGGAATTCTGCGCCAGATTCGCAGGAAACTGTGCAAGAAGCGCAGCTGCTGGCTTTAATTCCTCGCGCGTTGAGGGTCAGGATGACATGAGTTGCAAAAGCTCCCGCAAATGACGACCACGATGACGACAATACCGACGACGGCAACGACGACGGCGATGGCGACGGCGGCGACGACGACGATGACCATGACGATGGCGATGACGCTGCTGCTGCTGCTGATGATGGTGGTGATGATGATGATGCTGATACTGACGATGATGATGACGAACATGATGATGACGATGATGGTGCTGGTTGTGATGATGGTGATGGTGGTGATGATGATGATGATGGTGAGCACGATTATGATGACGATCTTGATGTTGATGCTGATGATGGTGGTGATGATGATGCTCATGATGATGATCATGGCAATGATCATGATGCTGGTGACGACGGCGATGCTGATGCTGATGAGATGGTGATGAAACTGATAACGATAATGATGATGCTGCTGATTATGATGATGATGGTGATGATGGGGATGATTTGGCTGATGTCGACGATGCTTGTGTTGCTGCTGATGGTGATTCTGGTGGTGATAGTGATGGTGTGGACGGTGATGGTGACGGTGACGATGGTGATGATAATGAGAATGTTGGTAATGTTTGTGATGGTGATTGTGATGATGATGATGACGATGATGGTGATGATGCTGCTGATGATGATGATGATACTGGTGATGATGATTATGACCGTGACGATTATGTTGATGTTGTTGATGATGATGCTGATCATGATGATGATCATGAAACTGATCATGATAATGACGACGATGCTGGTGATGATGCTGAGGAGCATAATGGTGATTACGAGGTTGACGACGACGAGAACGATGGTGATTGTGTTGGCGATGATGACGATGCTGCTGCTGCTGCTGCTGCTGCTGCTGATGATGATGATGATGATGATGATGATGATGATGGGGACGAGGATGATGGTAGTGGTTGCGATGATGACCATGATGCGTATGATGATGCTGCTGATGATGCTACTGATGAAGATGATGAGGATGATGCGGATGACGATGATGATGATGATGCTGATGATGATGATGATGATAATGATGATGATGATGATGATGATGATGATGATGATGATGATGATGATGATGATGATGATGATGATGATGATGATGATGATGATGATGATGATGGTGATGGTGATGGTGATGGTGATGGTGATGGTGATGGTGATGGTGATGTTGATGGTGGTGATGATGACGATGATTGTGATGGTGACGATGATGAGGCCGAGGAGGAGGAGGAGGAGGACGATGATGATGGTGATAAGGAAGAAGAGGAGCAGGAGCAGGAGCAGGAGGAGGGAACAAGGAACGGTGCGCGGGTGGCGATGCTACACGCAGGGAGCCTGGATGCCGGGACACCATCGGCGGCGCCGAGATGGGAAGAGGTTCGAACATGTTTCTTCTAATTTTTCTGCCTCTGGAGCTCCGTTTGGACTGGGAGCGTCATCCATCGATCTGGGATGGGAACTTTCCATGATGGT